AGTTATGATAAGGACGACAAGGACATCTCAAATTCTACTATCGCTCGTATTCTTCTCACTCAGTCCCCCAAGCACCCTTGACAGTTTTCTGGGGGACGACACGGGTTGTAGCAAATCTCGTGCTTCGTGCTCTTTGGCTTTCACGGCGAATCGCACTACGGAAATCTTCAAGGGTTTTCTTGTCGATGGTCTTGAAGTTCCTGCTCTTGCCGGTGAACTTGGCAGCCCCCTTTCGCGTTTTGGCGGCAGCTTTGGCCTTGGCGGCATCCATCATTTTTGCAACGGCATCTGCGGCTTCGCCATCGGTTTCGTCATGAAATCCGTAAAGAATGAGGGAGTCAACCGTGGAGCAGAGGCTTCTCTCCGAGTCTTCCGGCATTGCCAGTTTCCTCGCGGAAGAGGCCTTTGCTGGTTTTGGTGCCGGCTTAGCGCTGGGCTTTCCTTCAGTCTTTTTCGCTGTCTTTGACGCCTGCTTTGCTCCGGTCTTTGTCGCCGTCTTGGCCGGTTTCCTTTCTGTGTTCTTCGCTGGCATTGCTTTGGGCTCCCTGGGGGGATATATAGTCACGTCGCTCGGGATGCTTCCATCGCTGTGGGAAGACCAACCGGAGGACGAGGAAGAAGACGAGGACGAAGATTCTCCAGAAGAACTGTCGTCATCGTCATCTTTGTTGACATGCGTGACCATGGCTTTAAGGAGGGTTTTGATATCGTTTCGAAGCTTAGCCTGCTCTGCCTGTAGGTTGGCGATCATCCGCATCTGTTGGTCGGCATCCTTTCTATTTTGCAAGTCGCGACAAAAGGATTCCAGACTGAAGATACGTGACGTGATCTTGCTAGTCCGTTCGTGCATGCTTTTCTGGAGCGTCTTGGTCTGCAAACAGATGCCGTCGAGAACCGTCTTGTGCCACTCCTCCATTTGCGAAGCCTGGGCTTGGAGGTCGTCCTTAAGGTGGATCAATGCTCCATTGCGACGGTCATTAAAGCCATCAACCTTCTTCATGCACTCTTTCAGCATTGGAATGACTTCCTCGCCCAAGATTTCTTCCGATGTGGTCTGTAATTCCTGGATTCGATCCACTGTGGCATTGGACTCGTGGGGATGAGACGCATCATCAGGTTGCTCGGTTTCGTCTTCTTCTGGCGCAACTGGCATGTCGTGCGTCCAGTCGTCCGTGGTGGTGGGGTCGTTGGATTCGCCAGGTTCCTCAGCCCTCGCCTTCTTCTTCGTTGTTGTCCTTTGTATCTGCGTCCTCGGCTTCGACGTCAGTCTGATCATCGACTGCAGACTGGTCATCGACTGTAGACTCCGTTTCGGACGGCGGATCGGAACGTTGGGTTTCTCCTTCGCCAATATCGAAATGTTCTGGCTGTTCCTCTGCCACGACATGAACGTTGGTTTCTGTGTCATATTCGCTGGCATCCTCAGCATCATGGCTGCCTTCGTGGTGTTGCCCGGTGGCGCTGCCGTGTATCAACATTGGGGGCTCCAAGCCAACGGACTCTACGAGGGAAGGAACGCTATCTGCCTGGCTCGCGTCATCTTCGGCATATTCATCCTCTTCCAAGGTGCCAGGAGGATCCTCCGACGCCTCTTCCGTGTTGCTGGGTGGGTCGCACCTACCGGGTTGTTGCACCCACTCGCACTCGGCAGTGGTAACCTCAGCGACTGGAATGGTCGTGACGTTCTTGAGAAACCCCAGGACTCGGGCCCTGTTGACGGGGCGACACAACGACGAATGTCTCCTGGCAAAAGCCTGAGGCTCCCTTGCAGCTGCAGCCGGGGCAACAACGGCAGCTACCGAGCTAATGTCATCGACATGCTCCCTTGTTTGAGCAACGACGGCAGCTACAGAGCCAATGTCATCGACACTCGCCACATCCGACGCCGGGAAGGCCTGAGCCGTTGCGACACTGTCGTCTCCATTGATGTTGATATTGTTTTGGTTGTCACCAAAATATTGCCGCTGCTGCATGGTGGCATTCTCTTCCAATACGGCTTTGAGATTCATGTCACCGAGTTCCCAAACGGTTTGGATCTTTCCTGTTTCTGAAGACAGAGTAAACTCCATGGCACCGGTCCAGGAAACCTCACGACCGGTGGGCTCAAATCCCATAATGGGACGCTTGGTGTGTTCTCCATAATGACGGAGGCGACAGTATGCCTTGTTGCCTTCCACGACCATGGAGTGAATCTCGCACATGTAGTTCTTGAGTGATTGGTGGACCGGGGCGACACGACTGGTCAGGCCATCAATGCCCACTCGTTGCAACAACGTGCTACTGGAGCTATTGGTAGTACTATGGATGTCCCACTGGGCAGCCCCACTGAGACGTACTCTGGGATCACAGACCTGAGTAATGGCCGTTTTCTGGTCAGAGGATCCATTCCAGACATCCGCAATGAATTGCTGGACCACGACACGGGTCTTGCTGTTGACGTCCTCGGGTTCTGTGATCGTGGCAGCGGACTTCTTTGGTGGGTCTTCTTTTTCTTCTTTTTCCTTTGGCTGGCTCAAGAGGATGGTTTGTTGCAAGCGTCCCTCTGTGGCTCCCACTACAGTGGTAAGCTGACAGCTGAGTCGTGCCTCCATGGCTCCAATGGCCGTCAAGATGGCGTCGTGGCGGCTTTCCTCGTCTTCCTCGTCGCATGGCTCTTGGGTAATAGCGGGTTCTTCTTCTTCTTTTGGGGGTCCTGTGATCACGACTTTTAATGGCAAGACATCCGAGTTGGTATCCATGTCCATGATGGCATGCCGGAGTTCTTCATTGGATCCAATCACTATGCTACTACCATTGTCGTCGTCTTTGGAACAATAGCTAATCAGAACAGACAAATCATCCGGTTTGACATGACTCAGGCCGACCGCCGAGCTGCTGCCTCTACGGATCAAGCCCACTAGTCTGCGAAAGGCGATCTCTCCCGCCTTGTTGAGGAGCTGATTCAATTGGATATTGCGAGTATGAGAATATCCTGTTGCGGGGAGGGTATAAAAGGGGTAAGATACCTTAAGACAATGGCAACCATGGGTAGCAACTGATACCGGGCTTACCTTTGTCACTATGGATATCCAGCTTCAAGAGAGACCTCCCTTCACTCTGAAATGAAAAATCATCTCCAACCAGCGAAAAAGATTCGCTGCCGTCGCTGCTCAATCTCATCGTTCCTGAACAGGTAGTTCTGAATGATGGATCTTACGAATGGCTTGGCTTGTGGCACAGGGAGAAAAGCACAGTCGGGTGCACTAAAAATAATCACGACAGGGAGCTTCTTGGTCGATCAATCAATCGTTCTGTAGCACGAGTTGCTGGCTCTGCTGCTGTTGATCAAGGTGGGACGACGAGAGGGACGACAACAGGACAGCGGTAGAAGGGAGGGACTTTTACGCATTGATTGACATCCTGCATCAAACGTGCTTTTCTCAAAACAGACACGATTCTCACCTCATTCATTCGAAGCATTAGAGACACTACTCAAAGAATAATCATTAGTGCCTGTGACATTCTTGTTCCGTTTCAAAGCTGGACCCGTGAATCCATGACACCAACACTTTGGATGCCCTTGCAGCTCTACTAGGTTCTCTACTCGAACCTCACTTTGAAAAAGATCCCTCGGTTTCAATGAAGGTTGGACATCGTCCGCACCTGTTGCCCGTCATTGGATGGCTCTTGCCATTGTGATTGTGGCCAAACTATCTAGCTATAAACATTAACTCGTAGCTGCTGTGGTATACCTCTTTCTGCTAGCTAGCAACACAAGCTTGGTGGTCCGAAACTAACTAACTGTCATACAGAAAATAATTGACTACTAAATAGAGGTACTGATGTTCTAATTTCAAGCGCGGACGGCCCATCAAGAGGGACAAGTTGATCACTGACATGCTGTTCTTGACCAACACCCCACTGCTCGATTCCAAAACTTGGTCCATGCTGGGAAGCTCTCCTTCATGGCTCATCGATGATTGGAGTCTCTCCTTCGTCTCCCCCAGCACTGTCAAGTTCGTCACCGCCCATACTCTCAAACCTTGCTTCAATGAACTCTTTGGAATCCTTAAAAAATGGTAGCTGACAATGTTTCAAATGAGAATTGACTACCCACGTAGTAGATGCCATCCTCACCCTGCAGTGCATCCACTTGATCAAAGAAGCCAGCTGCAAAGTCATCAACACTCACTTGGGAATAGTAGTTGGTCCATTCCCGCTGGAGAATGATCTCGGTCACATTGGCACCCCAAAAAGACTGGAGTTCAGCCATCATTCTATCGCTCAAATCAGAAAGGGAGGCATCTGGGCTAGCAAACTGGTAGACAGTTGTGGCAACTTCAGTTGGGTTTGCTGTCCAAGCAATCAAAGCAATGCTGTTTTGGTTGGCTTCATAGGTGCCAGCAGCATAAAAGTCAAGAGTGTTTGTAATGGTGATACCTTCCTGCTTGCAAACGGTGGTGAAATAACGAAGAGTGAACAGCGTGGAAAAGAGCTCGTCCACCTCAGGTGCCAATGTCATCATGGATCGAACAAGGTCCAGAGTTGTGGCAAAGATAACCTTGTCATAAGTCTCGGTTGGCTGGCCATCAGCCTGAACTTCAAGGCCATTGTCCAACTTCTCAACCTTTGTCACAGGAGCACTCAATCGGATGTCTTCCAGTGTTGCAGCCATGCCTTCCGCCAGAGATTGGGTTCCACAAGGAAAGCCAACAAAGGGATATCGACTTCTCTGCTCTGTGGCAGAAACAATGAGTTTCATGACGGAAGCAGCAGGGATTTTGTCAAAGTATGCATATCCATACCCCAAAGCAAAAGGTTGAAGTGCTTCCAAATAGATGCTGAACCCATGCTTGGCAGCAAAGTCAGTCATGGAAAGAGCAAGGTCAGTGTCAGCTTGCCCCACAAGGTTGGATTTCTGGATGTGCTCTGTAAACATTCCCACCGCGGCACCAAGATTTTGGACTTGTTCCATTGCCACAGCACCAATCTCAATTTGTGTAGCATTGGGGTTTGCCTGTTTGATCAACAACCCAAGGTATTCTTCTCCATTGAGGCGCATACTTTGGTCACCCAATGACACAGTCACCAAGTCCTCAAAAGGGACTTGTCCATAGGGAACACCCAGCTCCTCCACATATGCCACTACTGGGGACTCTCCAGTTGTGGCGGTTCCAGTCAGAGTGAGAGCTGCACCTGAAGTCCGCAATATTCTGTGGCTGCTGCTTGTAGCTCTTCTGTCATGTTCAGATAGTCAATGGTGGGTCACTACCAAACGTAATATGTACTGAAAATCAAAGAGATCGGTTCTCTATAGAGTAGATAGTTAGGGTCGTGCTCCTTTCGGGTCCTTTTCAAGAAGAGAAAATACGTGGGGAAAGAAAGATATAGAGTAAGACCCCCAGTCCTGTAACCCTCTATATCTCGCTTCCCATGTGTCGGACCTTCCCCATCCTTCCGAATCTAATTCTTTTCCTCTCTCTCGCCTCAGATGCGATGGAATTAGCACGTTTTGTAGCTTAAACTGTCATAGAAACTCCCAAAGTAGAATGTGTGCCGTGCAAGACTCCCAAATATTCTAATTAGAGGCGCGAAATAATGGTGGCAGGCCTGGTGGCATGCACAACTGGCTGGCTTATATCAAATCCGGTGAAATCTGTCACATTTTCAGTAGCGTGGAGCACAATGGCGTAACTGTTGCCGGTGGACAAACTTTCACACAATGACGGAGCAACCGAAACACTACGGACCACATCAGCACTGCTTTATCAAGAGAGTAAGAGCTGACATTGACAGGGATGGGAAGGCTTACTGCAATACACGGCTCTTAGCCTTATTCGCGACTCGATCCTAGATAGGGTCTGAGTTCGACTCATGACGTAGTCCTTCGCGAATAGTCATTGGAGACAGAATTCTCAATGACCGCTCTAGTCTAGTCATACTAGTGTTGATGATGAAACATGCTCATAGATATTTAGCCAGCTGGAGTACTTCCACGCACTACAGATGAATGCTAGACGCAATCTTCCCAATACCGTGTCTTTTTTTTGGATCGTGGATAGAGTAGGATTGCCTACCGCATACCTACTCTATCTCACTCTACGTCTCCCGCGGGAGTTCAGATCTACGTATCCTTTGATTGTGATCTCTCTCGTTGATTAGTTTTATCTAGCTTTCTAATCCTTACATAAATTTCATTCTCTAAACACAAAACTGTCGAAGATCTTTACACTAGCTTTTTGGCGTGTGCATTTTGTTAACAACACAATAGCTTTCAGCTACCCTCAAACCTATTACTCACCATGAAGATTGCCAAAGAAGCATACACCTGATTCGAGTCCAAGCTGCGTAGACAAACCAATCCTTCCACCTCATCATAACGAACCTCGATTATGAATGAGAAATCGACGATTCTCGATCTACCAACTACAAACTTCGCACGATTCCGGCAGATGCTAACAGCGCCAAATACAACTTCAAGGTCCAAATCATAAATGGATCTGAGACTTTCCAGCGGCCAGACCATCAAGTGGGATGGAAGTATGGAGAAGGTCTTAGTTGGGCTCGCAATTGCTACGCCTGACGACAAACATAAACTCCTCAAGGAGATTGACTTCTAGCTTGGCCAAGAGCAGTTACGAATCTAGCTGTGCAGGCCATCGTGAAATACGTTGGAATGGCTTGCGCCAGATTGTCAGTCTCAACGCGATGCTCCACGCGATATACGTGGCGGTGAAGACGAAGCAACTTTCCAAGTACGTTTCGCTGCCTGAACGGAGCAGATCAGCCTGCTTTGGACGACACTGACATTAGTTTGCATAAATGCATGTATCGAACGGTCTGTCCCTAACAAGGCCTTGAAATAAGCGAGAAACGCTTCATGCGTCCGCAAGATGCGTAAGCCTGACGATATGTCTACTCGGGCTTATGTCAACAACCTCAGTCGTATGAACGCGAATAACTTCCTCGTTCTACCACCTTTAGGACCCAACCAAAAA